GTTAAGTATGTAATAAATCAAACTATAATTCTATTGGCAGACTCTAAGAAAAATTTACTGCTCGGATTCACTGTTAATAAGGATTAAACTTACAACTCAGATTAAGGTTTTTACAATTAGTCACTGTAATTTGTATACAAATGAAGACGCATAAAACATACAAAGCGAAAAAAAGCAAATGTATCGTTTTTTGTATTTTTTAATCTGATTTTAACACATTAATTGTTAAATTAATGCAATGGAAGAAAGCAGTTCAGCTTACAATATTTTAAAGGCAGATGCCTTCTAATGTGAAGAATAAAAATTATAATAATGTAGGGAAAGAAAGTGCTGTAAGCTTTAATTTACAATCTTTTTTCGAAGTAAAATACATTAATTTCTAAAGCTTCGTAACGATATTCAATACAGTAGTAGAATAGCTTGAAGAACAGTTATCAGCTGATGGTAAAATATACTTGTTCAAATAATATACTCAGATTTGAATAGTTTTGAAATCATAAAGTACAAACTATTCTAGAACAATAATAATTTGTCACCCAGAAATTGTTTCATTGTACCTTTTTATTCCGAAACAAAGGATTTAAATTGAAAATAAAAAAATCATTTTAGCCCCCCCCCCCAATTTATGCAATTTTTTATTAATAAAAAACATCCTTTTGTTATTTTATAACTTATTTTTTTTAAACTACTTTAAAATTTCAAGACAAAGTCTTTTATTCGGTTGTATCAGTATGAAATCTAATTTTAATATATCCCTATAAAAATCTGACCCCCGCTTAATAAACATTTCTTTAGCCTAACTCCACACATTAGCAAACTTTTATTTTTCTCCAATTAAATTGAAAAAAAAATTCCTTTTTAACGACCGAATAATAATAAATCTGAATTAACGAATTATTTTATTTAATATTTTTTATTTATCACTCTTAAACTATTTTACCTATTTCGAAACACTGCAAAGTATTATTATTCATATTATTATATTTTTTTTTTGGTTGCCCCAATTTGAAAAGTATATTTTGCTTTTAACTATAAGAAATGGACCCCAATTTAATGAACCTTTGTATAAAAATTTTTGAGATTTAACAAATTTCTCTTTTTTCCCCCGATTGTTACAAAGACAATAATTTCCATTTTACGAACAATAAACCCCTAATTAACGAATTATTTTAACTCTTTTTTTTTTTCTTTCTNTTTTTCGGTTGCCCCAATTTGAAAAGTATTTTTTGCTTTTAACTATAAGAAATGGTCCAGAATTTAATGAACCTTTGTATAAAAATTTTTGAGATTTAACAAATTTCTCTTTTTTCCCCCGATTGTTACAAAGACAATAATTTCCATTTTACGAACAATAAACCCCTAATTAACGAATTATTTTAACTCTTTTTTTTTTTCTTTCTCTTTTTACCAATTCACACGCTTTTTGGTTGTCCCTATTTGAAACGTATGGATTTATCCTTATGAAAAGTGAACTCCGATTTAAACTATTTTATCAATTTCGAAAACACTGCAAAGTATTTTTTTCGGTTGTTCCAATTTAAAAAGTAGTTTTGACATGTCCCATTAAAGAGTGGATCCCGATTTAATGAATCTTTATTTAACAATTTTCGTGATTTAACAAATTCCCTCCCCCTCCCCCATTAAAATAAAGACAAAAACTTCTATTTTACGAACAATAAATCCCTAGTTAACGAATGATTTCAATTTTTCTTTTGCCTCTATTAACGAAGTTTAATTTTTTATTTTTATTTTTAATCAATATCCCGCTGTCCTTCAATTTCTACAAAAATTTAAACTGTACTTTGACAACAGTTTTAAAGTGACAGATTTAAAAATAGCATGATAAAGGTATTTGTATAATGAAATCAACTTTGGCAATTTCATGTCCAATTATAACAACTTAAACTGCTGTAAATAGTTCTCTTTATCGATTTCGTGCACATGTTATTACCAAAGCGTCATAAAAATCCGCAAGAAATCGATTCCCACCATCACTGTGGGTGGCCTGAGTGCTTAAAGGAAAGTGTCTCCACAATAAATCAGCGTGGCCAATCGGCACAAAAGCCATGTTTTATTGTCGGTGTTTTCAATATCGTCCACAAACCACAGTGGTCAGTTATTTTAAAGGCCATAAAAACTATGGAAGATTCCACGGTGTCTACGTTCTAATCTTTTGTCGATTTGTTGCACATTCGAACGATGAAAAGATTGCGGGTAAAATGCTTCGTTTTGAGTGGTTTCTGGGAAGTGTTGTTGCAGTGGATTGTAAATCAATTTCATGGGAGGTTGCAAGGTTTAAATGACGGACAAATGGTTTGTGATAAATTACAATTTTAGGACAGTATGCTCGATTATACATGCTTAAAAATCGTAAAATCGTGTGAAAGTTTAGGTCATTAAAATCTGCTCTTGCTACTAACATGTTTACAACATTCGCACATGTTTGGGCTTTATATTTTGAGTATGTAATATTACATTGTATATTTTATCTGTGTATATCTTACCCGTATTATTATATTTGAGTCTGTAATGAAGTAAAGCTTTCAAAATAACAATAATAATCATAAAAATCGGTAAAAATTACAAACAGAAATGAAAAAAAAAAAAAATTATTTTTATTTCCATAGCTGCTCACATTGGAGGCAAGACAGTTTTTATCAATGAGTATTCTTTGCAAGTTATTAAAATTTTTTGTTAACTACCTAAATTAAACCAATAATTCTCAAGTTGATTTTAAAGATTATATTTTTAAAAAAAATCATAAAATCGTAATTTTTCTAATTGATTATAACACAATTTCATAAAAATGAAAGATAGAAAAAAAAACATTTTTGAACAATGTCAATGTTAATATCCTGAAAAGCTTTTTAATTTATTGTTACAAGCATTTTAATTAATAGGAATTATTTTCGATTTTTTTAAAAATTAATCATGCTTCAGTCATTCAACTATTAAATAATTCCTTTTTCCTAATGCTTCAAAGTAAATTAATTGAGCGCTTCTAGAAATTGCTCATTTAATCTTTGAATTCTCATTTCCTGGAAATATTATACAATAAATGCATCCCTTTGAATTTTAATTCATTGTTTACATCTAAAAAAAGCCATATAAATAAACTTCTGAATAATGCAATTGGGGGGAAAAAATGCATAGCTTTTACTCTATTATTTATACTTAATTGCATTTCAAAAGCTTTACCTTGTATTTCATGTCAAGAAATATTCATCAAATAATCAAAATATATATTTTACTCCTACTTACTAGCATTACTACAGTAAAATTTTAAACTTTGAAAATAAACAAAGAACAATATCATGAGTTACAGTTAATAACATTTAGTGTCACTCCAGTACTTCATATATTAATGGTATCTAAACAAGTATATATTAATATATATATTACGTATTAATGATATCCGATATGCTGTTATATTAATTGTGTCTAACGGTGTATCAAACAAAGGAATTTATTATCAATTAATTTATGGTATTTTACATTAATTAATAGTACTTAAATTTAAATAAAGCTATCGGTAACACTATAAGAATAAATTATAGACCTTACAGCCAAATATTTGATTAATGAGTGGATAAGCTACTAGAAAAATAAACGATTTGTATAAAATGATTCAATTGATTACAATAATGTAAGAAAAAAAAGCTATTATTTTTTCGAAATATCGAGATCGACTTCATTTCTTTTAAGGCAGAAAAGTTCTACAAATTATATCTTCAAATTTGTTTTTATCAAAATGCATGAATTTACAGTTTACATTTACTGTTGCATGAAGAATGAGTTGTGCAAAAACATTTAACAAGCTTAGTTACGAAAAGATTTTTCCTTTAAAACTTTATATTTTATAGTTAAACAACCATCGATGTGAGCAATAAAATAAAAATGGAATGTCATTTTAGATTGATTAATACTAAATTGATTTTTTTTAACCATCCAAAAGAAGTTTGATGTCACATAAACAGATTTTTTTCGTTACAAATCTATGTCACCCACACGCGAGCAATATCGACGTTTATGTGACATTATTTGTGCTTTTTTCAAATTGTTTTAACTTCATGTATAATCAACACAAAGTCAATTTTTCTTTATACAAATAAATAAAGACTATAGTTTTATTTGGCATTCTATGGAACGTAAGATAATAAAATTTAGAATGTATAAAAGCATCAGGAAGGCACACACAAAAAAAAGAAAGAAAGAAAAATACATATTGGAATAATTTGGTAAATTGGTATGTTTTATACTCGTATTATAGGTTTTTATTAACAGCGAAATTAGAGTGCTAGAAGTTGTTTATTAAGTTCTACAATTAAAGTTATTAATTAAAAACTTGTCTGCCAAACATAGCTTATTTATTAATGTTATAAGCCATCCTTTAAAAAAAATAATAATAAACAAGGAACTTGTCAAAAAAACAAAACAATTGCAACAACTTTAAAATTACCGCTAAAGAGCAAGAAGCTGTTAAAAGACAATTACTATGATTAATTAAACATATTTAATTATTAGTTTTATATAATCATTAGTTATCTATACATATTCAATTTTAAGCAGTAGAAAAGTTGCTAGATTAAAATAACTGGGCTATAAACAAGGCTCCCGCGTATCTTAGAAAAATGTAGGTGTAGTAACAAATAGGAGAGAAACATCTTTCATGATTTAATACATTCGTGACCACCCGTAAATGTTATTTTGTTAAGAAAATATATCTGTAAGAAAAATATTTCCTACTAGATCTCTTAAACGCTGATGCAGTACCTTAAAGAAAATTAAATTTCTCCTATCATTAAGGTTAATTAACATTAACTTATCCTACCAGACCAAACATTAAAGTAGAATCTTTAAAAAAATAAAATTCTTGGTGGTATTGGCGTGAGTTTACTAACAGTTTCAAACTTTTTAAATATCCTAAATATCCATGGCAACACTATACATTGTTGCATGGAAATTCTTTTAAATATTATAATGAAATTTGATAGACTTACTTGAGGAGATGCAGTATAGGCGAAACCACATGGAGAGCAGGACATACTATGATGCCACTTTCGATTGTTAAATCTTCTCTAGAACACTTATTTTGTGCTCTAGATTCTTCCAGTTCGAACACTAGCACAAATTAAGAGTCAAATCAAACACCACTCCGCAATACAAATCAATTAACAAATTTAATTCTCTATCGCCAAGCCATCGTGTTCGGAGAACATAAAATAATTCTTTTTATTTTTTGTCTGAAGATGCGCCAATAATTTCCAAGAAAACGATAACCACAATGTAAACAGAGAATCCGATGACGAGAGAGCGAGAAAAATCGTCTGCAAGAGAGTAGCAGTTTACGCCGTCGGAATTATCGTACTGGTTGCCGAATAACGAACGATCTTGATTGTCGACCAGCCCCGAGCGCTTGTATCTTGTAGAGTTGTTAACATGCGTGATAGCACAGAGGACCAGTGCTAGAGGGAGGGAAAAAAAATTGTAAAATAAAAAAAAAGGAGCAGGTTTTGTGAATGAGGCGGTCCTTTCTAACGCGCAATGTCACATTGGATTGACTCCGCCTTTTGGCGACGCTTTGATTGACACGCAGTGGTAGCTCCGCCCCTTTTGTTCTTGCGACATTTTCGAACGATTTTTTGGGTGGTAAAACCTCTTCGTTAGAAATTAACCTTGTTACAACATTCAGTTTAAAAAAATAATCAAATAAATCCTAAAAGTAACTTTTTTTTTTTATTTGTTACTGTGCCGCATCTCTATTCACCGAGCTTAGATAGATAAATTATAACAAATTATTGATTCTATTGAAGAAATGAACATAATTCGCTGTTAATAGTACAGTTGAGCCAATTCGTTGAATCGAATATCAAGTACGGTATAAAAATATCAATGCAAAATACCTTTAGATATACAGATATAAAAAAAAAGTGATTATTGTTTACAACGAGCTTAAAAATTACAAGTTATACGTTGAGAAATCAACTTTAAGTTATCGTAATTCTTTAATGCTACTTGCTTTTAAAACTTAATACATAATACACATATATAATTACACACTTGAATACATATAATTACACAATTAGATACATATATTTACACACATACATATAATTGCACACTTGGATTTGGGTGTGAAATAATCAAAATTTTTGCGTGCGATAAATTCTAACTTTTAGTTTTATGTGCGAATTTTTTTCCAGCGATTGTTGTTCGTTAAATCAAAGCTAAAAATTCGTTGAATGAGAGCCTTTTAGCACCCTTTTTGTCGGGACAGGGAAAATATTCGATAAATCAAAGTACGCTAAATCGAGGTTCGACTGTAATTATTAGTAAGAAAAGTTAATATCTTAACTTTTCTTTTAAATAAATCTTGAATTCTAGATTCATGGCACGGATTTCAATGTAGCTGTCAAATTTTACGCTGTTTAAGAAAGTTTTTTTTTCAATTGCTAGTGCAATAGTTTAACTACCAACTTGTATAATCGTTCGGAAAGATTTCACAAAGTGAAATTAATTTTCATATAAATGAGTCCTGCATTAAAGTCAAGATACATTGTAGCTATCAATTTCTTTCGCTTTTTAAGGAAGGACATTTTTACTGGGCGAAAAATCTACATAGTAGGAACCAGTTTATCTACATTTCCATATTTTTTCAATTCCTATTATTAGTTCACTACTCTCCCTATATTCTTCTTCAAAAAATACATTTTTTCTGAACTTGTAGGAGATGTCACTTGATGTGAATACAGTTTTTGCGAATATTATTTCATTCATTAAATTTAATTCATTAATTTTAGTTTCATGTGGGAGAAAAAATCTTAATTAATTAATAAAAAGTTATTAAAATAAATTGTTTCTTTATTGACCTAAGTAGGGATTGATTTTAAATTTTTCACATTTTTTTTATACTACTATAATATTAATTATTTAATATTTTAATATTATGTATTCCAAATTTAAAGTTGTGATATTTGTCTATCTCTACTGTGCTATTATTACGATTGTTTTCTAAATTAAAACTGAGTTTTTTCTTTATTATAACATCATTTTACAATATTACCTTATCATTATTACTACTATCGTTAAATAGGTTCTTCAAATGATTTTAAACTTAGCGATCAGCTTCACGCGCATGCTCCAATTGTTTTTAATATATCAGTCTGTTGGTTAAGTGGAAATATTAAATTTCGGACTCTTCAAATTGGTTTTAATAAGATACCTTTTAATTTTAAATACAGTCGGACTTTTATTTAACGAACTTCCATTTTGCGATTATTTTCGAGGAACCAAAAACTTTTTGGAAATTTCTTCGTAAAATACCTTTCAAACTGAAAAGTGAATTTTCTATTTAACGAACTTTTCTTTGAAGTCCACTTTCCCTATTTCCCGAAATATTTCAAAACATTTTAAACTTGTTAACGCATTTTATGGGGGAAATGACCTTTAATTGTTTTTCGTAGCCACTTAACTTTTATTAGAGAAAGCAGTAAAATCTCTCTTCCTCTTTGTTTGCATTTCAAACGAAAAACTCAGAAACAATTAACGGATTTTATCAGTAGTGATTATAATTAAGACTTCATGTGGTATTGTATGTTTAAAATGACTTCTATAATAAATGCAGCTATAATTTTATACATAAATTTAGCTTTTTTTAATTGAAAATGTATGTAGCATGTACTGGAAAATGTTTTGCTCTATTCATGCTTTCTATGCAGATTTCTTTTATGCTTAATATTAATAAAATAAATAGTATATACTAGTTAACAAGAGAAAGGTGTATCAATTGCTTTTTTAATTATGTTGAGTGTTTATGAATTTAAAACCTGTTTTGTGTTAAGTATTTCAAAGGGTGCTTTTCCATTTAACGAATTTTCCATAAAACCTATCGGTATTTAGCGACTTCGGTAAATAGAAGTCCAATTGCATTATTAAAAAGAAATTTTTGCTAAGCAAAATTACATGATAAGCATACGAGATCTCTGTGAAAAAGGATTTCTCGAAATTGAGCCGATATAATCGATTTTTTTTTTTTATTTATAAAAACCGTTGAACAGCCGACCCAATTTTATGGGTTTACGACTATTAATCCTCAACTCCGTAGCCTTGTAATTTTGAACCAAATCCAGAAGACAAGCCAACTCCTGGATCGAGTATGGGAGAAATTTGCCTGGAGGACTTTTTGATGGAGCTAACCAGCATTTGCGTTAATTGGAGAGGAAGACCAGGAGATCCTCCCATGGTTAGCCTAACGGTAAGGTGACTCTAACACATGATCCGTCTACCACTGAGGATAATTTATGTCAGCGTTGTGGTCGGTGCAAGCCGGTGGCGGAATTCGTATCGACTGGGATTGGACCCCGGTTCGCCTCATTGGAAGGCGAACGCTCTATCTCCTGAGCCATCGAGGCTCAAAAAGTCGAATTTTATATTTTATTTTATAACCGTCGTTGAACAGCAGACCCAATATCGAGTTTACGACTACTAATGTTCCACTCCGCAGCCTTGTCTTCTTGAACCAACCCAGAAGACAAGGAAACTCCTGGATC